GACTCCCTGGAGCTGCCCCATTCCCAGCAGAGCTGAGCTGGCTCCCTGCTGCACCAGGAATGAGCAGGAACCTCCCAGGAGTTGTTTTTTAACCTGTAAATGATCAAATGGTTGAAAATGAGCTGGAATCCCCTGGAACAATTCACAGCTTTTACATCTCTCTGCTCCTGTATCTGTCAGAATTAAGTAGAAAGATAGGAAAATGATATTTCTGCCGAGATTTCTTTTATTTACCTTAAACTTTTCTTTTCCAGCTGTCCTCCCTCCGCTTTGCCACCAGGATGAACTGGGTGACAGCAGAGCCTGTCCCCAACGAGCCCTTCTACAGGGAGGTAGGGACAGCAGGCCTGGGGGAGGGAAATGTTATCATTTTATCATTAATATTTAGGAAATAACCTCAAAAACCTGAGGAAAGTCAGGTGGTTTCATAAATAACCTTTCCTCAGCCAAGATGGCACTGCTGATTTGAGGTGGGTAATAAATTGGATCAATATTAAACCTTTTGATAGGTTTTTAATTACAGCTCCCTGGTCTCAGGCACAGCCATGCAGGTGCTCACATCCTCCTGGGGATTCTTTCTTCTGCACATCCCACATTTTCCTGATGAGGTTCAGCTCTCAACAGAGAGATTTTGTGCTGAATTATTCCCCTGACATGCAGGAAATCACCTCCAGTCCTCCTGCAGCTTCATCCCTGTTGCTGCTGGTAACAGAACAGCTTCTCCCCAATTAGAAAACTTGGGTAATTAAGGAAATCATTTAAAGGAAGTGATCACAGGATATTGGAGTGCACTTTCAGAGTGAAAGCCAAGCTGGAGGAGCTGAGATTGGAAGGAAACTTTGTGGTTTGGTTCTCCAGAGGTCACTGCAGAGCAGCTCAGTGCCCACTTCTCCCTGAATCCCAAGATTTTTGTGCTCACCTTTCTGGGAACACATTTAAAAAGTCAATCCTTGAAGATATTCCATGTTAGGGAGAAATCCAGTCAAATCCAGCACAGGAAAGTCTCTCCTTTGTCCCAGTTAGTGCCAGAGCTGCTGAGTTCAGGGCAGAGGTGAGCCCTGCACAATGCTTGGCTTCCAGGATGATATCCCTGATCCTGGAATTTGATGGTCCCTGCAATCCCAGACCAGGAAATCATCCCATTAAAAAGCAGTGATGCCTTGGGCAGGCTCTGCAGGCAGCACCCAGCACAAACTGCCCTGTAGGCAGTAATATTAAAATATAAAACAATAATCAAAGGAAAATCAAACTGATTTCCAGAGCCACTGATTCCCTGCTGCAGGCCCTGAGGGAGCTGGGATCCAGCTGGGATATTCTCCAGCAGCCAATTTGTGCTGCTTGAGCAGGTTTTTTTTTCCAATATAATTTTGTGTTTTCTCACCCTTTTTTTTCCCCTGTTAGCCATCAGTGAAGGCTCTGGAGGAGGAGATCCAGCTCCTGAAGCAAGAGCTGATCATGCAAGTCAACTTGGTGAGGAGCAGTGAACTCATTGCCCTGTGGGGTTGTGTCCTTTCCTCTGCTCCCAGCACCACCCTCTGGGGCTTGGGGAACCTCTGAAGATCCCACACACAGGGGTCATGCTGGAATTTCAATCCCCAGCACTGGAGATGGGGTTTGGGTTTTATTTCCAGACTCTTCTGTTGCTTGGTTGCTCCCAAATCCCATCTCCTGCCAAGTCAGGTGATGAGAATGCCAAGCAGAGATGGGCTCAGCAGTTCCAGGTGTTTGCCAGAGCAGTGGAATCACAGAATTCCAGAATGGTTTGGGTTGGGAGTGACCTTAGAGCCCATCCCATTCCCACCCTGCCATGGCAGGGACACCTCCCACTGTCCCAGGGTGTTCCAAGCCTGGCCTTGCACATTCCAGGGATCCAGGGGCAGCCACAGCTGCTTGGAAATTCCATCCCAACCCCTCCCTTCCTTAAATCCATCCTGAATTTCCCCTCTTTTGGTTCAAACCCATCCCTCCTTGTCCCACCACGACAGGGCCTGCCCAGAGCTTTGTCCCTGTTGTTCTCTCAGGCTCCCTCAGCTGTTTGCAACTCCCTGATTCTCAGTTTTCCAATCTTTTGGGGTTTTTTTTTTTTTAGACAAGTCATTCCTTGATGACTTACAACCCCCTGACTACAGCTCAGAGAGCAGAAATCAGATCCCAAGTCCAGAAATACCTCAGAGGAGTCATTGAGGAAATCGATGTAAGTAGTGAAAAAAGGATTTCAATCCTGATTCCATCCTCTTCCTCCAAGAGAGGAGCAGTTACCATTTCTTTTGAAGAGGCTGTTTTTCACCCCAAACCTGCTACAGAACTATAATTTAATCTCTTTTTGCTTTGTTAAGTCTGTTGCATGTTTTCATTCCATTTTTGCTGATTTGGAGGCTCTGGAAGTATTTTCCTTAATCTTAAAACCCTTTAAATTGATTTATTTGGAACTCCTTTATGTAATTAATACCAAAATTTATGGGTTTTTTTACCTCTCTTCCTCAGATTGTGAATGTCAGGCAGATCCAGGAGGTGTTTAGACAGTTCAAAGTGATTTTAAGGTAAGTCCAGAGATCCCAGAGTGGTTTGGGTTGGGAAGAACCTTAAGGATCATCCCATGGGCAGGGACATCTCCCACTATCCCAGGCTGCTCCAAACCCCTCCAGCCTGGATTAAAGGTTCAGACAAGGGGATGGGACTGAGCAGAGTTAGCATGGTTTGATGTGGACCATTAAAAGGTGCTGGAAATTATTAAAATAACCATCAAAAAGCTTGAATGTTAAAGAGCTCTAAAGGAATGTCATGGAAAAGGAGAGGAAGGGAGTGGACAAATGTTATCATGGGAAGCCTGGGAGGGGTGCTGAGGGATAAAACCACAGGGAAAGGAGGTTTTCCTGTGGGAATCTGCCTTTGGCAGGGCTGACAGGTGGGAAAGGATTCCTCAAGGGCTGTTTTTCCCTTAGCCAACAGGAGGAAGAACTGGAAAACAGGCTCTGGAGCAAGTATGGGATGGGATTCGTGGCTGGGACTGGCTCCATCTCCAGCTCTGACCTGCGCATGGAGGAGGCTGAGGAGGAGCAGGAGGAGGAGGAGGAAGAGGAAGAGGAGGAGGTAATGCCTGGGCTTCACCTGGCCCAGACTCCACCTGAGAGCTGGCTCCTTTGTGCCAGAGTGGGAATTGTACAAAGCACATTTTTCCCTGTTGAAATCAAACCCAGAAATGTCACTGGGGTGAGTTTGGCAAAAAACGTGTCCAGAGCAGAGATGCACCATTAACAAAGAGGAACTCCAGGCAGCAGAGGGATTTATTGGGCCCTTTATCTGCACAGAATAATTTAGGAAATGGGAATTAGAATCCCAGAAAGGTTTGGCTTGGAAGGAACATTAAAGATCATCCTGTTCCATGGGCAGGGACACCTCCCACTGTCCCAGGTTCCTCCAAACCAAATCCAGCCTGGCCTTGGACACTCCCAGGGATCCAGGGCAGCCACAGCTGCTCTGGGAATTCCATCCCAGGCCCTCCCCACCCTCCCAGCCAGGAATCCTTCCCAATATCCCATTTAAACAGTGCCCCTTGTGGTTTAAAGCCCCCTCAATGTCCTGGACAATGGCACCTCCAAAGCGACCTGTGTGTCACTGGGCTGGAGAAGGTGAGGTCCTGCCTCTGCTGAGATCCCTTTTTTAATCCTTATAATGTCTGGAGCCAAGTGTATAAATCCCACCTAATCCATAAATCCTCCTGTGGGCTCTCAGAGAGTTTTTAATTCCCACATTGGGCTGTTCCAGGGGATGGAGGAGCTGCTGGGTGAGGCCTGGAGAGCTTCCATGGTGTCCAGGATGGGACATTCCTTTGTGTTTCCATCTTTCCAGGGTGTGCACAAATGGAATATTCCTCTATATTTCCATGTTTCCTTTCTGTGCTTCCATGGTGTGCACAAATGGGATATTCCTCTGTGTTTCCATGTTTTCTTTCTGTTCTTCCAGGCTGTGCACAAATGGGATATTCCTCTTTGTTTCCATATTTCCTTTCTGTGTTTCCATGGTGTGCACAAATGGAATATTCCTCTGTGTTTCCATCTTTCCATGGTGTGCACAAATGGGATATTCCTTTCTGTTTCCATGTTTCCATCTTTCTGTGCTCCCAGGCTGTGCACAAATGGGATATTCCTTTCTGTTTCCATGTTTTCTTTCTGTTCTTCCAGGGTGTGTACAAATGGGATATTCCTCTGTGTTTCCATATTTCCTTTCTGTGCTTCCAGGCTGTGCACAAATGGGATATTCCTTTCTGTATTTCCATGGTGTGCACAAATGGGATGTTCCTCTGTGTTTCCATATTTCCTTTCTGATTTTTCAGGCTGTGCACAAATGGGATTTTCCTCTATGTTTCCATCTTTCCATGGTGTGCGCAAATGGGATATTCCTCTATATTTCCATGTTTCCTTTCTGTGTTTCCAGGGTGTGTACAAATGGGATTTTCCTTTCTGTTTCCATGTTTTCTTTCTGTGCTTCCAGGGTGTGCACAAATGGGATGTTCCTCTGTGTTTCCGTATTTCCATGTTGTGCACAAATGGGATATTCCTTTCTGTTTCCATGTTTCCTTTCTGTTCTTCCATGGTGTGCACAAAGGGGATATTCCTTTGTGTTTTCACCTTTTCTTTCTGATCTTTCAGGCTGTGCACAAATGGGATATTCCTCAGTGTTTCCATCTTTCCAGGGTGTGCACAAATGGAATATTCCTCTATATTTCCATGTTTCCTTTCTGTATTTCCATGGTGTGCACAAATGGGATGTTCCTCTGTGTTTCCATATTTCCTTCCTGTTCTTCCAGGGTGTGCACAAATGGAATATTCCTCTGTGTTTCCATCTTTCCATGGTGTGCACAAATGGGATATTCCTTTGTGTTTCCATATTTCCTTTCTGTGTTTCCATGGTGTGCACAAATGGGATATTCCTTTGTGTTTCCATATTTCCTTTCTGTGTT